TGGTAACGGATGACGTACATCATTGCTTTGCATCGAATCTCTACAATTATATCGTTTGCATCTTCTTCCCTTTTACTTTTCATTTTTATATTTGTGCTTATTATTTGAATTAATCTATTTAGTCTTTACTTACTTGAATTTAGATTAATTTTTCGAAAAAGTTTTAGAAACCAATTTACTCCCCTCTTGTTTAGTTATTCTTGGGCTATCATTTAGCTGTTGTTTTGGTTGTTGCGAAGTGACCTCCATATGGAGAAAAGTACAATGCTCCAATAAATGTTTATGTTCTTCTTCCATCACTCAACGGTGAAAGATATGATCCAGACCTCGTCTATAGATAAAGGAATTGATCCAAAAGTAGTGCTTGATATCATCAAAAAAATCTTCTACTGTTGACCAGAGAACTCCGGAAGAATAACTGAATTGGCCAACTAATTTACAAAATCTGCATACCAAGATGCTGATTTGATCTGAAAAATTGTCTCATCTAAAAATACCTCATTAAATTTATTTGTAAGATCTTCTTCTTGTTGTTCCACAACGAGATAAATGATCTACTGCCAAATTTTCACATCTTTTTTTTTTATCTTTGATTTCATAGCCAAATTATTGTAGCAGAAGTACCTATCTATTGAGTCTTGGCTTTGCATCCTTCTTACTGAGCAAATATGTCAGCGCAGAATGATCTATGTACACAATCACCTTCAACCTAATCAAGTAAGGCCTGAATTTGTCGAAGGTAAACACCACTACCAAAAAGCTCGTTTAATGTAGTAGCATAGTTCAATTGAGCTTGAATGAGAGTCTTGTCGGTGTAGTGAATCACATGTAAAACTTTATTGCTGACCTAAACCTATCCCAATTACATAGTCACACGCATCACACAACAACTCAAATGGAAAATCCCAATCAGGTATAGCTAATATAGGAGCTGTGACCAACTTTTCTTTCGCTGTGTTGAAGAAAACCAAACACTCCTTAGAAAAGTTAAAATGCACGTACTTTTTCAATAAAGTGCAGAGAAATTTGGTTATTTTGAGAAGCCCTTGATTAAGCGCCGATAGAAACATGCATGTCCCAAGAAACGTCTTATCCCTTTCACTAAAGTAGGCGAATGTAGCTTCTCAATCCCTTGTATCTTAGTTTTGTCGACCTCAATATCCCTAGCTAAAATCAAATACCCCAAAATAATTCATTCATGAACCATGAAGTAGCATTTCTCCCTGTTAACAAGATTGGTTTCTTCACATCATTCACCAATCTCAAATGACCCAAGTATTTATTGAATGGATACCCAAAAACTGAGAAATCATCTATGAATACGTTAATGATAGTCCCTACCATATATGTAAATATGGACATCATACATCTCTGAAAAGTAGCAAGAGCATTATACAATCCAAACAACATTCTTTTGTATGCAAAGGTGCCATAATGACAAATAAATGTAGCTTCTCCTAATCTTCTGGTGCTATAAAAATCGAATTGTACCATGAATACTAGTCCAAAAAGCAATAATGTGAATGTCCAGGGAGTCTCTCCAACATCTGATCCATGAAAGAAAAGAAAGGAGAAAGTGATCATTCCTAGTGGCGTTGTTGAATTTGCGATAGTTAATGCAAACTCTCCAACCTTTGACTATACGTGCATTAATGATCTTGTTGTTTTCATTAGGCACCAATGTAATTTTTCATTTTTTTAGGTACTACATGCACTGGACTCACCCAATAATTGTCTGATATAGGATATATGATCCCTGCATCCAATAATTCGGCACTTCTGTCCCACAACCTTTTGTATATTCGTATTTAATCTATGCTGCTGCTCTATTGACAATTACTCTTCTTCCATCAAAATTTTGTGCTTACAAAGAGAAGGGATGATCCATTTTATGTCAAAGTTGGTCCAGCCTATTACAATTTTGTGATCTAGGAGTAACATTAATAGCTGATTTTCTTCATCTTTGTTTTGAGCATTTAAGATGATGACTGAAAGTGTGTGTTTCTCTCCCAATAAGGCATAATGTAAGTATTGATAGCCTAAAAATGACTAACCAAGATAGGGTGAATTGATTTTTAAAACTTTTTTGAAGAATTAATCTTAATCAAG